AACAACAACAACATATCTGACAGTGTTTCTCTGCTATTCAAAAACTTTTCAGTGACTAAATATTCGGAAGTAGTTTGTCACTCCCTTTTCCTAGTCTGTCTTCATCTGGAAGCTCATTTGAAAGCAGTTCACCATGGGTGACCCTGCTGGTATTTAATATACCGGTGGCATAGCTTTCAGAATCACAGCAACTCACAAGCTACCACAGTACGACAAACTGACAGACAAGTGGTGGGTTACCTAGGTCAAAACCTGCTCCTCCTCTAAGGGCTCTTTCTGTAGTTTGAACAAGATCTCATTTAGCTGAATGGACTACAGTGGACAGATATAACTAAACATATAGCACTTAAACTAAATGTGCTTTAAGAAAAACATCTGTAATTCTGACATTGAGCATAGACAGTTATTGCCATTTTATCCTGTTTGTTGCTGTTTTTCTATGTATATGCTTTAGAAATGTACCCCTACTCTCTCAGATTAAATGCTTGGAGGCTTTTTTATAAATCTAAAACATTGAAAATAAAGCCTCAAAATATTGCTATGTATAGGTGGTGGTGGTTTTACGTGCCACTGAGTTGGTTCCAACTCATAGTGACCCTGTATAGGGTTTCCAAGGAGCAGCTGGTAGGTTTGAACTGCTGACCTTATGGTTAGCAGCCCAGTACTTAGCCTACAGCACCACACCAGGATAGGAATATACGAAAGGGCTTCAAAAAGTGTGTGGAAAATGGAATTGAAAGATAACGGAAACTTTTTATGAAGTTTTTGAAGCCTCTTCTTGTAGATATGTATGTAAAGACGTGCTATTTAAAATGCACTAAAAAAATCAAAACCAAGCCCGCTGCCATTAAGTTGATTTGGACACATAGTGATTCCATATAAGATGGTTCCATACAGGGTCCCCAAGACTGTCAATCTTTATGGAAGCACATGACCTCATCTTTCTCTCTCAGAGTGGCTTGTGGGTTTGAACTGCTTTCCTTGGGTTAGTAGCCCAATGCCTTATCTGCATCACCACAGTGCTCCAAAAAAGTCTCCCTCCATACTCAGTCTATTGATGGGAGGAACAAAAATGGTATTAGGGGAGGAGATGAGCAGTTAAAGAGAAATTTACTGTATCTATTAAATTGTATTTTTTTAAAAAAGAAGTTTGTAATATTTTCTTAAATTTAACACAGAATTTAGGCTTTGTTTTATTTCATTATCACTAATGTTTTTTGCTGGAGTCTTGGTGTGGCACTGTGGGTTAATGCGCCAGACTGCAAAGCCATTTGAACTGCAATGTTGGTGGTTCAAGCTCACCAGCTGCTCCTTGGAAACCCTATACAGGGTCGCTATAGGTTGGAACTGACTCAGTGGCACTTTACAACAACAACAATATCTTTTGCTAACTTTTAAACTACTTCCTCCAAAGGCAGGAAGCAGGGAAGACAGAAGAGATAAACAGTAGTCAGGAGAGGGATTACCTCTGGTCAGGACAGGAGTGATACTGGGGCGTTGAGGAGGATGGTCAGAACACCCTATACCTGCACATCATTTTGTTCTCATCTAAGGGATCATTTATGCTTGAAGACATTGATTTTGGAAGAAAGAATGACTTCTGTAGCTGTGAAAATAGAACTTTCCATTGTTATAGTTATAGTTGTTAAGTACTGTGGAGTCCGTTCCGACTCATAGCGACCCTGTATGGGTTTCCAAGGCTGTAAATCTTTACGGGAGCAGAAAGC